GATTCGAATATGCAGGGAATAGAAAACTCGGTAATTATTTAGACTGATGAACAGTGATCGCCGAGGGAAGTCGCATATAACAGGCCATTGTAGGAAGTGGATAATATAATACTTCCAAGGAGGGCAAGCGTGGTGCTATAGAAACCGCGCTAAGGAGCTTTCTGGGTGGAGCGGGTCATCTGAGAAGGTAACCGGAGCTATAATAAGCCCAAATTCATATCACATTAATCTCTAACTAATCTACTCACATAGCTAGCAGCATTTTGAGCCTTTCATGAGAAGAACATATCGGCGCCACAGACACATTGGAGATTTAGGTGAGCAACACTGTGTAACATTAGACGCACTATTGGTAGCCCGTGCTCGACATCACGTTCCTCCGTTCCTCATGAATACACATTTTCGACACGTCGAATCAATCCTTGCATTGCTCTTTTTAAAAATAGAAAGTAAACAAGGGGCTTGCAGGAATTCACCCTTCTCCTTCGGTCGCAATACAAGCGGTAGTTTCCATACCAGAGTGAGCTTGTGCGAGAAGAGGAAGAAAAGTTCTACAAGTTTTACTCAAATGATGGGAAGATTGCTTACGGCTACAGTCCGTCGCATAGAGCGGTTCACGCCCAAAATTGATGATGATTTCGAATTGTCAACACTAGATTCGAGCATAAAACCAATAAGATTTTCCAATCCTATAAGAGAAACGGTAAGATACGCTATAAAGCAGAGGAAAGAGAAGGAAAAAATGCTATTCCTTTGCCCACAGGCGCCTGGTGGGAGGCCGAAAAATGAGTCAGAGGATGCCAACAAAAAGCATAAGACTGGTGTGGTTGATGGAAACATCGTGCAGGGCAAGCTATGAGATTTAAAAGTGTAAGAGCGATGTAAGATGAAATTTTGTTAGAAAAGGCTAATTAATCAATTCCTATAATGGCTTATAGTGGTTTAACGTCCAAGGGAGAGTAGGCCAACCATCCACTGTGGTGCATTAAACGAGATGGGAACTGTAAAAAGTGACGTTTAACCACACGTTTAGCCTCACAGTGGTCGCATTTTCATCCTAACGTTACGTTTATATCCTACACGATTTGCCCACCTCCTTCTCCCGAATCAAGTAAGATCGTCCTTTTTGCACTCCTACAACACTGTTGTCTAGCCCTGCTTCCGCGACTGGTATCCAGCAACCTCAACTAAATAACTTGCGTCAACTCTTCTCACTCAAAAGGGCCCCTCGCATGTGGCCTTACAGCCAATGCTACCACCGAAACGAAAGGAACTTCTTTGGAGCCCACAAAGCCTTGAATAGAAAATTCTGTAAAGCTAAGGAATGTCGCAACGAACACCTTGCCGAGCCCCAGCATAATGAATGAGTTTCTCTGCTTATACTGCTCGCCAAGCAAACAAGCGCCGACATCTGAAACTAATTTACATTTTGAGTGGTGCGGCAAGCGAGCAGTTTTTATTTTTCAAAAAAAACTGAGCAAAATGCTGGAAGTTTCTGTCATAAGCATCGAATGTACCCTGTAAAGAAATGGAAGACTGAAATGTGCGCATCTTGGGTCTGAACACACACAGGATATGTTGGCCATGCAGCATTTCGAAGAAAACTGTAGTCCAATTGTCGAAACATATGAGAACGAGGCGATCAATCGATAATGGACGAGGATGAGTCGTTTGTGAAAACATTAAATAAATCACGGGAAAGGCAAGACACGCTTCACACGTAGGCGTTCTTGTACTGCGTTCAGCCACAGCAACGCTGTGGATTAGGCAGTTTCTATTCTACATCAAAAGTGAAGATGTCTCAGACGACCTTTGTTGTTTTCGATCTTAGGACGTCCTTGACGGCCGCGATGACATGCTGTTTGCCGCAGATTCCTCCTCGAACAACTTACAGAACTTTATCTTCCAAATTCTTACATTCTATGATATTGACCATGATTCTGTTTCGAAAGTCAACCTGTATGTAACGAATGCCAACTATTGCAGAACAAAGCTTATAATTGAGCAGTTCTTCCCAGATAAAAGTAGTTCAAGAGAAGGAAACCTTTGAGGAAAATCGGTAAGTTCTAACTAGCAATAAAAAGCTCACTTTGCAGTAATGGGACAGAGTTGGCGTCGTCTCGATCCATTTCTGAACGTAGAGTGCGTCCTTGAGGCGCCCAATCTAACACGTCTCTAAACATCACTGCAGTGATAAGGCAATGAATGAGAGAATCAGGTACAAGAAGTACGAAAATTGTTAAATTGATGTCAAAACTATTTCCAAAAATGTATATTACCAAAACTTTCGCTTTCTTTTGGACTTTACATAAGACTTGCAGACTATCACTATAACTGATTTATCCTCCTCTAGGACTGTGCAAGAAAACCGTTTTCGATTACTAATCCTAATTAAGTGCCGTTCATTATAATGCGTAATGGAATATAATGATAATGATAATGATAATGGAAAACAATAGCGAATATTGCCAAAGAAAACAAACACAAAGCGAGATACATATAAAATTAAAGTTGAATATAAAAAATTAGTGATCGTGATAAATACTCGAGCGTCGGTCATTGGTTCACACTGAACTCAAAGGAAATTTTGTTTCGAAAGAAAGTCGTCAGATACCATCAATATTGATCTTTTGAAATAACTATGCAACGAGACAGATACTCAATAATGGTTGTAACTACTCAAACATGCGTTGCAATTAGCAAACACAACAGTTTATTCTATTTAATAAGATCATTAGTCACTATTTCACATCGCACTAATTCATTTTACGATATGATCCTACACTGTACTGATGATCTTCAGAGATAATAAGTAACAGGAATCACAACAACTTTTGGCAAGATTCCAGCCAAAATTGAGCAGTTTTTACTTGAAAGTTTTGTTAAAATATATAGACTTGAAAACGTACAATTGTGAAGAAACCTGACCCAGGACACTTTACTGCATTGTTGTGTATTGATTGATGAGAGAATCGGTGGCGCAATGATGCGATTCCACAGAGCACCTATAAAGTGTAGAAGTTTATTCATTCATCCACACCGCTGAACTAATAAAGCCGCGTAAACGTCGGCGCTGAATACGAAATGGACCACTCGGCAAACATTCCTTTCATTTGCTCGTACGTGACACAT